AGGCCAGACCTCAACACCTTTCAAGAAGTGCAGTTAACTCTGCTTTGGATGCTAAGGAGTAACTGCTGGACTGGGATGGGCAAAGTTCCCCATAGAACATCCAAGGGTACTTTATCATGTTACTGCAATTTGGATCTTGTTGAATTCTTTCCTGAATGAAAACTTACAGATGGTCAAATCTAGGACTGCTTTGCCTTCCCTAGTTGTAAATTGTGTTGAATACAAACTGTTCCTGAACAGCACAGTAAGGTGGTTTGGAGTCATAGGCTTACACTAATCTTAATCTTGATGGACCACAGCTTCTGAAAGTGTTGGAACTTGGCAGCTCTCCTCCAGTGGAAACTGCTGGGTGCGGTTGTGTCTGAGCTGGGTTCTGCAGACCAAAATCAGAGTTGTACCTTGGTTGCAAAATATTTAATGTGCTTAAATGATTCAGGCCCTTAGAGTGGTTTGCATCAAGTTCCAAACCCATTGGAGAACTTTATACCATTACAGGAAACTTATCTGTTTCAGTTGTCCCAGTTGACATCACATCCCTGCATAGCTTTGACAGGAAAGAACACTTCCACCGGAAGTGTTTATAGGAGTCTCAAAATGAATTTAGTTGAAAGTGGAGGAAGAGGGAGAAATACTCCCTCAATACTGTTAATTATTGCCTGCTGCTTCCAGATCCTTTGCGTTGAGGAGGGGTGGTTCTGTGCCAAACATGCAGGCACAGTTGTTCCTAGTAGTTTGATCTCTACTTGTTTTAATTTCCAGGCACTGAGAGTTTAGTGTTACATTAACGAATCGATATGAATATAAATTTGGGTGGGGAGAAAGGTAACTTTCACTCCTGTGGAAGTTAGTGTGGCAGTCATTACTATGAATCATAGAATCATAGGATAGTTAGGGTTGGAAAGGACCTTAAGATCATCTAGTTCCAACCCCCCTGCCATGGGGGCAGTTAGTTCTGTTAATACTTGCTGTTTGTGGCTGTAGCTTACTTTAAAATTCTTTGGTGTGAGAATGCAAACTACAATGTGTCCAGAGCACAGAATGCTTCTCCTTCCTCTCCTCCCCTTCCAGTGTAGGTGTCCTGCAGCTTAGATGTGTAGGAGTGCTTAGGAAACAATGTCTGTTGCTGTGAGTACAAAGAACTGCAGTGGTTATTTCTGCCATCTCAACAGCAGTTAGATTCACCAGTGCTTCCATCTTGAGACTCCCATAATCCATATTCTAACAGATTTGTAGCCATCACTTGTCTGTCCCTCCTGCCCTCATCCCTTTCCTCACCCTCAGCCCCAGTTTGAGGTAGGTAAACCAGTGTCAAAGCCCAGTACAGATCTGGGTGGATGCTCAGGGCTCCTGTGTAAAACAGCCTGAAGCTCTAGGTTGTTTGGGAGCGCATCTGACTGCAAACTGAAATGCCAAGTGAACAGCAGTGCTGCAGTAACCAGTGGATCTGAAGCACATGAATTATTAGATTTTCAAGAATTAGAATTTCACTTCAGTGGTGCTGTTAAAGGCAACTGCTGTTCCCCAAACCTCTCTCAGCCACTTGATCTGTGGTCTTCCTGGAAGCAAATCTGAGCTGCTAATACTGGTGGTGGCTGGGACTATCAAGATGTTAATCTTAATTACGAGAAACTGGGGCAGTCGTTAATCTCTGGATGCTGTTTTCCATGCTGCTGCTGTGCTCCACTCCTGAGGCAGCTCTTGCTCAGGGTGACCCAAGGTGACTGACGTGGCTGGACCCTCCCAGGGTCCTGTCTTCACATCACTGTTCATAAGGCAGCGGCCTGGGGCATGGCCCTGAGCAAGTTCTGGTTTTGTAATCCTCAATCTTTCCCTCTCTGCTGTGAGTCAAGGTGTATCACAAAGCTTCCTGCCCTTGGAGGACCGAAGAACAAACCAAGGTATTAATGAATACCTTGGTCTTCATGCTGGCTTCTGGAAACCACTCCACCCTTTTAAAGTAGTGAATGCTTCCACAAAATCAGTATGGCAATTCTGGAGCAAAAGGCTGCGTGGATCCCTCTTAGCATATGTAAATCTGGCTAAAGATAAATTTGCCTTAAGTTAATTAGGAACGGATTAGAGCTAAAGCAGAATAAGAGACTCCTTTTAAACTCCGCAGACATGGCCTGCATTACACTGTAAATGCTTTTGAAAGTGGTTTTAATTCAGTCTCTCACCTCTGCAGAAGGATGTGGTCAGGCTCCTGCTCACAGAAGTCCTTCCAGGCCTTCAGCTTCTCCCAAGTCTGTAGTTGCCTTCCAAGGAGCTGGCTACACGTGGCCATGCAGGGGCCCAGCAGGAGTAGGCGTATTTCTCTAGGTGTACCTATGGAACTGCAGAGCTGGCCGGGGACTCACCTGCATGGGGAAGCGTTGCACTCTGTGGACAAATTACTGCAAGTCTTTAAAATCCTGCTCAGCCTTTTCTTAAAGCAGTGTTCAGGACAGCCCGGTGGGTTTGGGTTTGCTGTTTGCTTTGATGTCCCCATGGCCACAGTTCAAACTGCTCAGCTTCCTGGTGCCTCTTGGCTTCCAAATGTTTCAATTTGCTGCTGGAGCAAGTTACCAGTGTTCTCGCTCCGTGTCTGTAGCCTTGACCTGTCTGCTGCCTCCGTGCAGTACTGGGGACCAACAAGAAGCCCCACTCAGAGATAGCATTTGCTGAACAAAGGTGAAGCAGCCACCATGTGAGGAAAGGGGGCATTGAGTCAGCCTGAGGACCATGGTGGGGATAGAAGTGTGTCTGGCGTGGGTTTGTCCCATCTAAAAAAGGGGTTAAAAACAAGGTCCAGGACTTGTCCTGTGTGAACAGCCGTGCACCAAACAGGCATCAGACTTGCCTACATAAGATAGGACCAAGATGTTTGGCTCAGGTGTGATGTCTGTCCGTGTGATGTTCTCCTGGAACTTGACTAGCAGCAGGCATAAGTGGAAGGGGAGCTGTGATCGGTAGGGGGTTAAACCAGTCACTCACCTTGCCCCCTAAAGCTGCTGATACCCATTTGGGTGCAAGAAGGTCTCCATCTGCTTGACACCGAGCATCTCTCTCCATCGCTACGCGGGGTGTGCTCGGCCGCGGCGGCAGCGCGGCCTCTGCTGGGGCTGCTCCCCGCGGCCCGGGCAGGTTTGCTGGGCTCGGGTGCCACCTAGCGGCGCTGTGCGTGCCTTCAGCCGCCGTCCGATGCGCGGTGCTGGAGCTGAATGAAAGGACACCCAGCCGGCAGCGGAAGCATGGCTGGATTGAAGTAGCTTCAAAGAATATCTGATACCTTGCCTCTGATGGCTGCTAACAGCTGTGTGTGTTGAAGCTGGCCTAAAGGAGCAAATGACCTCAAATGTAAGGGGTCTGCAAAACCTTTTGTCTTGTAATTGTTCTGATGTCTTGGGGCACAGTTTTCGGATCAGGTGTTGCAAGACAAAGCAGAATTCATTTTCCTCTTTGTTTTTTTCCATTTCCCCCCACCCCCGTCTTACTACTGTTTCAACCGGAGGAAGTGGAACATGTGCTGCTGGTTAAAACACAGCACTGTGCCTCTTCCTGATGTTCCTGATGCCTCTTCTGGATTCATGCTATTTTAGGCCAAAAGGCGTTTTTCATAGCTGTGTATGAGACACAAGGAGGCAGTGTGTGTGGTTGTGTCCATGTCTCCCATAGCACAGGGAGGTTCTCTGGGCCCCTGCATGTCTGCACTGTTGTGCTGTGCCGTGGACGTGCCCGCCGTGCAGCAGCCCTGACCCCGCACCCTAGGGCTGAGCTGGGGCGGCTGCAGCGGAGGCTGGTGCACGTCTGTCAGTGTTGGAGGGCAGCAAATTGAACTGCCTTACTGCAGGTTCAAAGTGCTGAGCTGTGTCTTGTGGCCTCCCTTCACTGAGCATCACAGGACGAGGTTCTGATGCAAATGCATGAGCAGCATCAGAGCATTACAAAGCGGCTATGACTACCTGAAAGCAGTAGGAGAACTAATGCTGCTGTGCTCTGGCTGTAATGAGCATAGCTTGCCAATTACTCATATTAATTGCATTGAGTTTTATGGGGTTGACAATGCTTGAGTGCTCTGGTGCTTCAGAGCGCCCCGGGGGGGCTCGCTGGGGCTCCTTCCCCCAGGGTTTCCCGCTGGAGCGGTGCAGAGGCACTCCCCACCGCCGGCCCCCCTTCAGACCCCGGGGAGCACACCCGCCCGCGCAGTGGAACTCTGCAAGCTCCCTGCCTGTACCACAGAGCTCTCTGTGCAGCCCTCTAGCCCCGCCCGCCGCGGCCTTCTTAGCGCGCCCGCCCGCGCCGCGCCTTCGGAGCTGCACTTCCCGCGTTGCGTTGACGTGTGGCAGGGGGCGGGGCTCCGGCGGCAGCGGCGCAAGATGGCGGCCACCACGGGTGCGGGTGAGCGGGCGGCGGGGCCGTAGGGCCGCGGGCTGGGGGGACCGGCCGGGGCCGCTCCTCGCTGCGGGGCAGCTCCGGGCAGTGCGGGCGGCGGCGCGGCAGGCTGCGGGCGCCCCGGCTGGGCGTGTCGGGGCCGGAGGGGCGGTGGCGGCCGCTAGGCCGGGAGGCGCCCGGGGAAGGGGCGAGGGCGGCGGAGGGTCCGGCCCGAGGGGCGCGGCCCGCAGGGGTTTGGTGCCTGGCCGCGGTGCTGGGGCCCGTCCCCGCTCCTAACCCGCGGCGCTCGGGCGGGCTCGGCCGGTGCCTCCCCGGGGGCTGCCGAGGCCTCGCGGTGGGAGCGGCCCCGACGGGGCGAGTCCGGCCCGGGCCCGGGAGGGGCCTGTGGAGCCGGCCCGGCGGGAAGCGTGCCCCGGCGCTCTGTGTGCCGGCTCCGGGAAGCGGCGCTGGGGCGGCGCGCTGGGCCCTACGGCCGGGCAGGGACCCCTCCGTCCGGGCCCGCAGCCCTCGGCCCGGCCCTGCGGTTCGGGCCTGGGCGCTGTGAGCCGCAGAGCGAGCCCGGCGCGGCGGCTTGAGCCTGGGCTCGGCACCGCAGGGCCGCCGGGCTGGCTCCTCTTCTGCGGGTGAGCTCCGTGTGCTCGGAGGTGCCCTCCCGGTTCCCTGTTCGCGGTGGTCTCTGAGCCGGTACTTAAGTTACGTGCGTGAAATCAGTGGCTTTAAAAACCTTATTCACTAATAACATCTTCCTGTTACATCAATGGAACTTCCTTGTCAGGATGTGCGTGCTTCCAGAAGTCAATATATATCTTTTTGCCTTTAAAATTGCTTCTCGCCCGCTTTGAATAGTGACACAAATCCTGTCTTTCCACTTAGCATCGCATGTTAAACAGAAATACTGCAACTAGATCTTGAGTGGGGTGTTCTTTGCTGACATCATTTAATGAACTTAGATCGAATAAATTAGTTTCACTTCTGTTTAGCGTGTTTCATTTTCCTGTTTTCATAAGGCCCATATGGGGTTTTCCATGTGCCACTGTAATACTTGTCTTAAAATTGCTTCCTCTCAAGTTTGAAATCACCAGATTTCTCTTGAAGATATAACAAAAATATCTTGCAGTTCTTTTCTAATAGATAGGTCTCTATTAATGACATGTTTCAACTTTTAAGAATAACCATTGCAATGCAGATATCTTGTGGTAATCAAGATTATGAATGCAGGCTGCAAAATGCAGTGGATGCTGTGCTGAGAACTGTGCTTTACAGATCTGTGTTTGAGCGTAACCTGATGGTGAGGTGTTGGAACACTTGATTAAAATACACAAAAAATATAGCAGAGCCTTCTTCCCCCTCCTGTGTCACGTTGTTCTGGCGGCCATGCTTTCCCAATAATCCTCTCAAGCTGCTGACTTTTCAGTTTGTGTTTGGCTGGAGGAACAAGGCAAGTGTTCTGTTGTGCAGCTTCGTGGATTAGTTGTCTGAGCGGTCATGGAGAGATATGTGTGGAAAGGGGCTCGGACTGTGGTGGTGAAGCCCAAAGCTAGTCCTGTGCACAGCTTTTCTTTTGCAGCCAGTGGTCTTTGTGATAAGCTGCCATTAACCATCATCTGCTAGCCACATGGTGTCTTTTGGATTGCTTCCTACTACTGCAGGGATTTCTGAAAGCTGTCTCTTCAGTGCTGGAAGTGTGAAGCGGTACACAGCCAGGTGGATGTGGGTAGGGGCATCGGTGTCTTGTGGCTGTAGTGTGGGCATTTGACAAGCGCTGCCGTTCAGCTACTCGTGGGATCCTGCGTGTTTAACTGCTGCTGAGGAGATTGGGGTGGAGAATAAATCAGTTGTGACTTACAAACATGTTGCAGTAAGTGAACTTTGCAGTAAACCCCCAGTTCAGTCTGAGAGAACCTTCAGGTACAGACCAGCATCTTACACTGAGCCTCAGAGCCTTGTCTGGCTGTAAATCATGGGCTGCCTTACCAGCAGTGGTCTGGGTTTTCTTCTTGTATTGGTAAATGATGGAGATTCTCCTGATAAAGAGTACAACATAGTGTCCAGTTACTGGTGGTGGTGGTGGCACTGCAATGCAGTTTGTACTGTTCCCTCTTGACACTGCACTGAAGGCATTGCCCAGCACATACAAATAGAGCCACCACATACAAATAACAGCACCTTGTTCTCCATCATTGTTCACTTCGCTGTGGGCAAGTAGCTTAGTAGTGTTTTTACTCAGATGTAAAATAGATTTTGCTAATACTTGTTTCGTGGAACCTTAATTTATTCATAGTTGCTGATAATAACCACTTGAATATGTTTGATACCATGAGTTCAGCAAAAGAGCTTAAACAGAGGCTGAGGATGGAAAATGAGGCTGTGTTTAAAATCAGCTACTGACCCAGAGGAAGAAATGGTAACAAATGTCTATGGAACTTAAGGAAGTCATAGGGCTGGTGCTGGGAATCAGACAAGAAAGCCTGAGACCTGTATCTACTAAACAGGTAGAAATTATTAACAGGAGAAAAAAACAGCCCTCACCTGGAAGAAATGTTATGATGCAAGGTCCAGCAGTATCAGTTGCCCCCCAGCAGTGGGATGGGGAACAGAATCAGGAAGAAGGTAAAACCCATGTTTTGATATAAGAACAGTTTAATAATTAAAATATAATATACTACTGCTAACTACAATAATAATAATGAAAAGGGAAATAACAGAGAGAAACAAAAAACCCAGCCAACTAACAAACAACAGTGAAGCACAGTACAGTTCCTCACACCTGCTGACTGATGCCCAGCCTGTCCCTGAGCAGTGATCAGCCCCTCCTGGCTAACTCCCCCCACTTTATATACTGAGCATGCTGTTCTATGGTATGGAATACCCCTTTGGCTAGTTCAGGTCCTGGCTGTGCTCCCTCCATCTTCTTGTGCCCCTCCTCACTGACAGAGCAAGAGACTGAAAAGTCCTTGATCAGGATAAGTGATATTTAGCAAGAACTAAAACATCTGTGTGTTATCAGCATTATTCTCAGACTATAGCCAAAACACAGCACAGCTACTAGGAGGAAGATTAACTATCCATACAAATATAGAGTTCTGCATTGCTGATGATGTGTGATTTCCACACATACAATTAATATATTGATAAAAAGAAAGGGTTGACCTTAATCATTCTAATAAGGCCCTTCATGGGAGACTGTGAACGCTCAAACTGTAAGTTTATGTCTATCCGTCCTTCAGACTGAAGTGTCACGCAGAAGCACTCGGCTAGCTCAGGTACCAGAGGTGATCTACCTGGGAGATCCAGGGCTCCTCAGAGGCTCATGCACCCCGTGGCCCTGCAGGGAAGTTGAGCTGTGTGGAGAGTCTGTGTTGCAGTTAGACTACAGGAGCTTGCTCCATGTTGCTGTCCTGCATACTCTGATATTATGCTGGGTCAAATCCTGACCATGCTGGCCTGTGAAGTCCTGTTTCTCTAGCTTTCATCCTGGAGAAAGTTTAACGATTTCTTTCAACCCACTTTTCTCTCCCAGATCTGTTTAGGGGGTCTCTTGCAGGGCTGTGGTAGATACAGTGATTACCAACAGGCTGGATGCACTGAGCAGTAAAATGATATCCCCACATAAAAGCTAGGCGAAGTCAGAGGAATGTGAAGAACTACAGAAGGGTGATTCATTAGGTGTACAGTCACGATAGTGCTAATACATGTATCTTAATACTCCTAATGGAGAGAAGAGCACAGCTCAGTTTTAGTACAGTGTATTAAAAGTATGCATTTATAGTGGTTGAGGGACCCATAACATTACTGTGTGCTCAAATCTATGCTTGCAAAAAGCAAATGCAACATTACAGTGAGGAAGAAACTGCGTATTGAAGGGTATGGAAGGTGTACCTGCCTCTGCAAATGGACCGTGATGTCTCCTTTGGAGGGCACTGCACACAACAGTCACTGTTATCTCAAAATAAATATTGCCAGCCACTGAGTACTTTCTAAGTCTGTAAGTAACATACTCAAGGGTAGAGAAAAAGTAATTGAAGAGAAAATAGGAAGATAAATTATGCCTTCTTAAATGAGATAGACTGTAAGAGCACAGGAAATAGCAGGTGCTAAAGATTGAAAGCTTCTTTGAGTATTGTAATGGAAGGATGCAGCAGATTAAATAAAAAGGTAAATAGTTTAAGATTTACAAAAAGATACTCAGTTGAATCTTTTAATATATAATGATGTAAGTTACATAACATTTGAAAAACACCATTCTGGCTGAGAATTTAGAATGATTTGTATTGTATTAAATATGTAAGTAGCGAAGAATCATAGAAGATATAATACCGGCAGATAAGGTGTGTGAAGTTCGGAATTGTCAGGTTGTGAGGATGTTTTTTAACTATTGCAAGTCAAGCTGGAATTACTCTGTCTGCACCTACTGATGAGTTTGTGTGCTTTCCTCCCAGGTCTGACCTGGGCCTGGCCCAGAAGCAAAGCCTAGCAGTGTGCATCCTGCCTCTGCCCGCCTGTGCTTAGCTCTGCTGTTAAAGCTGTACTGAGCAGGTAACACTGCCTTAGTCTATCAGTGTGGCATCTTGCTCTTCAAAGCCTATCTCTGAATCAGTGAGCCTACTCATGCACTCGCCTCTTGGTGGGTGGTGTGAGTGTAAGAAAACTTAGCAATACTTTGTGATAGAAGAGGCAGCTGGAGGAGAGTGCTGGGCTCTCAGTCAGTGACATCCGTTTCTTTTCACAATGCCAAGAGGAGATGGTGGGGTTTTCCCTCTTGAGATTTCGTGTAAAGATTTTGTCCACGATGTTAGTTCAAGGTGACTTATTTTCTGAATTAACTTCTAGCTGAGCTGGTTATGTTTTGCTTTTCACCTGTGATATAAGTCACAGAATGCATCTGATTTTAACTCTCCTGCATCTGACAGGATGTATTTGGCTCCAGACCTCAGTGATGCTGCCAGTCTGCCTCAGACAAATGTTTTAACATGATCTCTTTCCAAGTAAAGTGCTTAAAGTGTTGAAAGACAGAACCGGTTCTCTAGCTTACACAACAGAAAACACTTCAGTTTGTTTCAAGTGCTCAGGAAGCTATTTTGGATCTGCACAGTAATTCGGTACCTGTCTGTGTTATCAGAGTGGAAATCATGACTATAAAGATGATGCAAGAAATCTGAAGTTCCTGTCTCCTGAAAGTTTTTGTCACAGTTGCTAAAAGCCTTTTACTCAGTTTTAAATATTCTGTCAGTTCAGAAACTTTCTATACCACTGGATGAGGAATGATTTCATTTCTTTACAGTGGCAGTGCTGCAAGGGTCAGCTGTCAGATTTTCAGTAGTTGCAGTCTCTGCAGAAAGATGAGGAATATATTGGAAAATATGTAATTAGGGCTTAGTATCAGATACATAAAAAACAAGCAATGGAAGGGGCTTTAACGTATTGAGCAACAGAGGTGTTAAAAGCTGTTGAATTTCAGCTCACTTGAGTTACTGTGAATGGGGAGCTAGTACAGAAGCAGCTAAAATTGGCCTGAAAGGGCATTTGGATAAGTTGCGTGTTACCAGTGAAGATGTCAAGTAATCTTCAGCAAAATGAGGGTTCCCCTCCTTAGAGCCCCTAACAAGTGAAGTGCATTTTCTGTGTGCTTTGCTGGGCCATGTATTTGTCCTTTAATCCTGAAGAGAAATGCTTATAACTTGATTTCACTTTAGAAAGGAAAGAGAAATGTATTCCTGAAGTTTTTGAGGTGTATTTTTTTGTTCTACAGACATTGACGAAAACATTTCAAGTAGAGGGTCTACGCTCAGAGGCATGTTGTCCACCTTGCTTCACTGTGCTGTGTTCAGCTTGTTAAGGTTTCTGTGAATATGGAATTGCTTTTGCTATATAACTGGGGAAAATGGAAGATTAAAAAGTGTAGTCTGTCACAGAGTGTTGATTGTAACTTGTTAAAACCAAATTATATACTTCACATGGAGGTAGATTCAAGATGGGAAAAACCTCAGGCTGGTAAACTATCGTAAGACACATTCAGTTGTATATCTTTAGTAGTGCTGTAATGTAAATCTGAGTGTGTTTTAAGGACTTTAAGAATCCAGGTTGGCATTTAACTGTCTTCCAGGAATAATTCTATTCTTTCCAAGTACAGAACTTTCCTCCCTGAGATTGACCGGACACAGGCAAATTCCTTGTGTCCTCATTTCAGCTTGCTGTCTCTTTCTTCAGCGCACTGCTTAGCAAGCAACTGAGTTGTGAGGAGTTGTGGTAGTGAAGGCTCATCATTACTGGTCTTGCCTGGCAGCTCTGGTATTAGGTGAAACCAGAAGGTCCTGATTCTGTTTGAAGGCTGAAGAGGATGTCATCCAAAACCTAACAGCTTCTTAAGTGCAACTTTGAACTCTGTAAAGTACACATCCTCACTTTCTGGGAAACCCAGTGTGTGGTTTAGTTTTATTCTCTGTTTTTTTCATAGAAACAGTTAATGGACTTTTTGTAGCTGGTGAACTAGTGTGCAGGGTTGAGGCTTCACAAATGCACCTTTACTAAAAGGTGAGCTTTCAGAAAGACTGCACAAACCTGTGTCATTGGAGGTCTTACGTTGTCAGTACAGTTATCATTTAACTTTCATAGGTTTGCTGTTGCAATTAAGAGTAAATACCTCCTTTTGCTTGGAAATGCTTTTTCAGTTCCATTTCTGCAAGTGTTTCACTGTGGTCAGGCAAGCTGCATGTGAAGCTATTTTCTAGATATTAATGTGTTTGTTTCAAACTGCTATTTGAGAGTCTTCTTGAGCCATAGCAAAGGCTAAATTAAAATGCATAACAATGTACTTTCAACAAACTGATTACTTTTTAATTGCCTCTTACTTTATTTAGGTTTTCTTGTGTTAAATGAAGGACTCTTAGAAAAACAGGTTGGTTTGGTTACTGCCTTGAACGTCTCCATTCCTACGCTGAAAAGATTATGCAAGGTATTTACTGGAGGGTGGGAAGATGACACGTAGTTGACTCAGGGTTGTGTCAGCTGGTGCAGAACATCTCCCAACTCTGAATCTGCCATGGTTTAGCCATAGAAAGCATTTACCAAATAATGTGTATGCCTAGAACAGGTCACTTTCTAGGAATCTAGGTGGAGAGCGAACATCAATGATAATACATTTGCATGCAACCACAAGTGATAAAGCTTGTGTGGTTTCTGGGGTTGGGGTCCCAGTGGGATGTGGTAGCTGACCATGAGTGCTGCAGGCCATTGCAAGTGAAGAGGAGATGATGTTGGCTTAATGGCTTCATGCATCTTTCCAGGCTGATAGAAGGGTGAATCTGGTCTTTTACTCTGCCTTCCTTAAGGGCAGGTTATTTGGAAATAATTTAAAGCATTTGTGATTGTATGGCCATAGTCTTTTACATGTAGATTTGGTTTTATTCCTTTTGAATCTCCTGAGAAAGTGTCAGGGAGGAGCTGTCATTTATTTGGCCCTGAACTTGCTTTCTGTAGTGGCTGAGGTGCTGCTTTTCTGTTGCACCTCCGAGCTTTAGCATAGGGATAAAACATTTTAGAAGGCAGTGATGCTGTTAGACAGGGTGGTTTGTTGTAAAGTGACCAGTCATCTCCCATGATAATTTTATTTTCTGTGACGTGCATAATATCTTTAATATTACATGCTTCTCTTTTGGCACCTCCTTTTGCCACTCATGCTCCTGTAGTGCTCACAAGTGAGCAGTTATTGTGAAAGTAGGATTAATTTACGTTAACTTTTCCTGTGTGATAGGAGCCAGTGCACGATATGACTAGCTAGCTCTCTGTAGACCTCAGACTTGTCAGAACTCTGCCATCCTGTCTGACTCTTGTGGCTCTGATTCATGCTGAATCAGAGCAGCTGGATCTGGGGAGGGCTCAGAAATAAAGTGGCCTTCTCTTCCTGTAAGGTTGTAAAGCCAAGCTGAGCTCTGGTTAGCAAATGTCACAATTAAAGCTGCCTTTCAACCCTGCTTGTGGCCTTCTCAAATATATACGTGATGATGTCATTTGTAATTACATGATCACTTAATTTTCTTCACATGGGATTCCTGCCTCACTCTGAACAGGGTACGTGATGCTCAGAGGGAGGGTGGACAGGCTATGTTTTTTTTGCCTCCTTTAATGCGTGGCCTGTGTGTGCTTACCATAAAGCTGATTCCTCCTGGGTTATTTGCTTTGGTCTAAGTAAATATCAGTAAATTATCTTTGAGCCACTGGTAAATATGGAGTGGTATTATCAAGTGCTGAAGCACAGAGACTTGAGAGGATGTTTGTTAAGCATCACGATGTTGTGGTCCACAGTGAGCATTTCTTGGCAACATGGCACATTCAAGGCAGGTCTTTTGCTGGCTTCAGCTTATTGCATCTGTGACTGGGGAGAGGCTCTAATAATAACCACGACGGTTTCCTTTGCGGCATCACCTGCATTGTTGAAGAGCTCTGTGTCAGACCCAAGGGTGGAGTTCACCCTCCAAAAGGACCTTTTGCTTCTTTGTTGTCCTCCTTCGCTGGCTGTTTCTTTCCCTAGGCGCCAGCAGGCAGGGCTGAAACCCAGACAGCAGCTCCAGGCATCACAGCAGTGAGTCATTCCCCATCACCAGCGCTCCCATGCATCCACTGCTGCAGTAGTGAAATAGGTTGTGTGTGTAAGTAAAGGTGGAACCTTGTCCTTCAACTCACACTCCAGCTGTTCCTGTTGGAGGTAGACTGCTCTCTTCTCTGTTTCCTCTAGCTACAGCATGGAGAGTTTTGGGAATGTAGTTAAAACTGGGGTGGCTAATCATGATTCAGGTATGAGCTGCATACTTGAATCTTCATGTGCCTGAGGTACACAAAGTACACACTGCATACTTCTAAGACTTGCTGAGAGGGGAGATGCTGGAGCTTTTTAAGCAGGGGAAGCAACAGTGATTCCCAAGAGGTCATCTTACCACTGATGGTTTGGGGCTTGGTTAATCTTACAGGGATGGCTTCACCAGCCCCAACTGATTCATTTCCTTTTGCAGCCAAAGATTGGTATTACTCAGCAGCCATGGTAACAGTGCGGTCTCCCTGAGAGTTGAGGATGCAGATTTGGCATGGAGCTGTGTTTGAGTCGTGCTCTGCAGCCCCCACATGTGTGGTTTGGTATAGCCAGTGCAGGTCTTGCCTCTTCTGGTGCCACTATTTGGACTCCAGGTTTCTCTTCATACAGCTGTGTTACTGAATCATGCTTCCTTGGGATATTCTTGAACATGTTATGTTAGATGCATGTATCAAAATGGCCAACTTCCGTTGGGTGCAGTCATTCAGGAACAGACTGCTCCAGCATGGATACCCAACGGGGTCACCAGTCCTGCAGCAAACCTGATCCAGTTTGGGTTCCTCTCCCCACAGGGCCACAGCTCCTGCCAGGAGCCTGCTCCAGGACAGGCTTCCCATGAGGTCACAGCCTCTTCGGGCATCCCTCTCCTCCCGTGCTGTAGGTGGAGATCTGCTCCACCATGGACCTCTATGGGCTGCAGGAGCACCCGTTGTGCCCTGCACCGCAGGCTGCAGGGGAATCTGCTCTGGCACCTGGAACATCTCCTGCCTCCTTCACTGACCTTGGAGTCTGCAGACTTGTTTCTCTCACTCCTCTCTGCTGCTGGTGTTACACAGGGTTTTTTTTTGTCCCTTCTTAACTATGCCAGAGGTGCTGTCACTGTTGCTGATGGGCTCAACATTAGCCAGCAGGAGGTCTGTCTTGGAGGCGGCTGGCATTGGCTCTGTCAGACACAGGAGCGGCTTTCTTCTCACAGAAGCTAACCCTGGAGCCCCCCTGCTACCAAAACCTTGCCACACAAACCCAGTACAAAGGAGAAGTGGTGGCCTAGGCTGCGTTTATGTTTTGTGATGACTGAGCTACAGATACCTTGAAGAAGAACGAGTAATTAAGTCCCTTCTGGCCTGGGTTCAAGATCCTTTCTTGCTGCAGACTTAGTGTGTGAGCTTGGATATGTCACATAAGTTCTCTATGCCATTGTTTTCCATTAATGTGATAGGAATAAGAGCATTTCCTGTTCTGCTGTATATTTTGAGGATAAATGTACCAACACCTAAGAAGTGCAGAAATTCCTTGGTGGTGGAGGTCATGCATACAAAGAATGCTATTGCTGCTGACAAAGCCCACTTAAATTAACTTCAGATTAACTACTGTTTGGAGTTTTATTTGCCTTGAATGGTATTTTGAAAGCTCTGAGTAAGTTGGGTGCTGTTGAGCTCTGATTTTGCAGAATCTCCTAAGCTTTTGTACTATAAATCATACAGACAAGTGCTAATTAGAGCTCTGTGATACTGTGTGTATTTATGAATGGACAGACATTTCCTGTCATTTTACTGCCTGCCCCAGTACCTGGCCTGTCATTCTTCTAGTGTGTTTAATTGTGAATACCTTATTTTGCTTGTAAAATCCAAGCTAAGTATGAGGATATCCTTTTCATAGTGTTGAAATGTTGTCATTGAGAAACAGATGCTATTTTTATGGATTTACCCAAAATGCTTGCTGTAGAATGACCAAAAGTATCAGGGCAATTACTTTGGGTTCATTTATTTACTGGATTTCTCAATTCAAAACGTTTTTCTGATGTTTTTCAGGAGTAAAAGTTCCTCGTAATTTTCGTCTGTTGGAAGAACTTGAAGAAGGTCAGAAAGGAGTAGGTGATGGAACAGTTAGCTGGGGCCTTGAAGATGACGAAGACATGACACTTACAAGATGGACAGGAATGATTATTGGACCTCCAAGAGTAAGTTATGTGCTTAACTATTAAAATAGTACTGTTACTCTTATTTCTCTTCTCCCTTTTCTTCCCTTAACCTAACCACTGAAGTAGAAAACAAAGGAAACGCAAATGAGTGGGGAAAAAAAAAACACTTTAGCAAGTGATTTATGTTGAAGGTTCAAGTTCCATATAATAATGGGGTTCATGTATCTGTGTGTCTTTTGCTTTTAATTTGGAATATTTTTAGTGCCTTTCTCTGGTTAGTTCTGTTACATGTCTGCTTTATATTTACAGATTCATTAAGACATAACTTTTGAGATTCCAGGATTCTAGTATCCTGTACTCTTGAATACAGCAAGGTTTAAAATCCTTCGGCTAGTGAGATTACATGTGGAGCTAATGTAGGTAAAACATGGATGTTTTGTCCAGTACTGCTAGTCTTTCTGCTGTTTCTTGTTGAGTTCATGGGTTGGTTTTTATTGCAGCAGTACTGACTTGCTCTTGTAGAGTTTCAGCTAACTTGGGAAACTCAAATTTTAATGAATTTAATTTCTTAGTGTTCTTTCCCAAAGTAGCGTCTTACAATGCTACTCGTCTTTGTGGTGGTATTGTTGCGTTCTCAACTCTCTTCTCCCCTCGAACCCTACTAAACTGTGGGTCCCCACTCTGGTAGTGAACTTGAGGACTTACTGTGCTTTGTATGTATGCATGTATTCTAAACCCAAAACTTGCCTGTTATCTCCAGTTTCACTGTGTATCTCTGTTCTGTGTCTTTAATATCCTTGCCATGTAGTGCAAGTAGCTGAATCTCCTTCCTGCAAATAGTAGATGTTGTCTTCTGTATCTGGCCTCAGTTTCACTTCCCAGTAATTCCAGTGTTCTCTGTCTATTATAAGGAAACCTTTGCAGATCTTTAACCATGCTACTGCCCTATGTGTTTCCCTTCTGTCAGTTGCCTTTTCTGCCGCGCCATGAGGTTGTACAAGAATCCATATTACAATGGCATTACATGTGCAGTGTTCCCATCCAGAAGTGTTGTTTACTTTTTTTGTCTGCCAGTGTTAACATTTCCCCATTTTTGATCATTTCATTTGTTTATGATATCATTTGCTAGAACAGCATTTGATTCTAGAACATTAGGAGAGCGTTAATGAGCAGTAAGACTGAAGAAAGCTTGCTGTGTGCATACACTTCATGGAGAATTTAAGCAACCTTGAAATCTAATTTAGAAGATTAAATAGAAACTGCAGCGTGCAAATAGACATGTGCTGACTTACTAGAAGTGATAGAAATGTGTAGTTCATGTCATACTGCCAACCAAGGCTAGAGGACTACCACGGAAGATGGTTCAGCTGTGCCTCTTTTGTCCTTCTGACACACTTAAGGATATAGATGTTTTCGAAGTGCATCGTGCTTTCTTATTGCTTGAAGGCAATGGGCTGTACTGGGAGAGATTCTGGGAACTTCGAGTCATTCTTGTTTGATAAGTGATTGTCCTGCTTTCAGTACTGTTCTTGGTTATATTATTACCATTTTTTTTTTTCCTGACTAGGATGTGAGAATACTGGCAATGGGGGAATAAAAACGAAAATCCTATTTCCTTCTGGGTAGAAAGCAGTCACACTTGAAGCAGGTGGAAGAGTCTTATCGTGGGCATCCCAGAGAGAAAAATGAATCGTGGTGCAGAGTTAGATACATGCTGCTGCTCTGAATATCCCTGCTACCATACATGGAAGCATCCTTCTCCTTCCCAGACTTTGTGCAGATAGCTTTGCAGCCAGTGATTCATCTTGTTTATACAAGCTATTTAAAAACAGTGGCACTGTCACAACTTCAGCTTTATCTGCACGTATTTTATATTGCCTGTGGACATGTGCACAGGCAAGGGTTTCCATTCACCGGTCCTCACGTGGTGTGGTTATTGGCAAAGACCCTAAAAACCTGCATGAACCTCTGGGCTCTTAGTTGCCCTGTGGGCCACACACGCTCAGGGGCTCAGCAGACCTGAGCAGAGCTGACAGATGACTTTTTCCCCCCAGAACTTTGTCACAGCGTTCAGCTTGTCCCTGCCTTCGCTGGTATCTGAAAGGCTGGCTGCCTGAGGCGCTGGGGGAGTGACCAAGAGGTACTGGTGCCAGC